AGTGGTCAACCAGACCAGATGGGCGGGATATAAATCAAATAAATAAATAAATAAATAAATAAATAAATAAATAAATAAATAAATAAATAAATAAATAGGTTATGACTGAAATAGCAGTATGTTTAAATTATTGCAGTTGACTAACTTCTTTGTCTTATTTATATTTTGCAATGAGAAACATGCATAATTAGAAGTAAGTCTCACTGAACTTAATAGAGCTAGTTTCTTGGCCAATGTTCATTGAATTACAAACTTGTTTAGAAAATGTTAAGACATTTGATGCCTGCAAATATGTTGTGTGTATTGTACACTAAGTGGAGTTAAGGAACTTTATCTTAATGAGTGTTTGAATATTATTTCATGTCATACTTATTTGGGGAATGACCTTTGGCTGGAATATTCCCTTTAGGGATTAGCCATGCTATCCTATACATATCTACTCAGAAGAAAACCACATTGAGTTTAGTGGTTCTTACTCTCAGATAGATATGTTTATGGCTGCAGTTTTAAGTCCAGTTTGTTTCAGTGAGAGGATTAAAAATACCATTAATCTCTATTAAAATCACTAACCCAAGTCTTTTAACCTCATTATTCTGGCATAACACAAACAGCCTCACTTTTGGAGATAAATTGCCTTGAGTTAAGAAATCACTTTAGCCATTATGGATAATGTCTACGGTGATTTCTTAACTGGGGCAATTTGCCTCCAAAATGTATGCCATTTGCGTCACCACACAGAAAGATTTTGGCAGTGGATAAACCTGTACTGTTCATAGGTTTATACATAGGGAATATATAGGAGGAAAATTGAAGACTTCAACTGTTATGTGCAGTCTTTTTCTTTACTGTATTGTTTTTCATTGTTTTCTAGGAAGAATGCAATTCTAGGCCTACTGTCTTCCGATCAGCTACCTTAAAATGGAAAGAAACCCTCCTGGGCCGAAACAGGCCATTTGTGGGACGCTGTTGCTATGCATGCACTCCCCAAAGCTGGGTAAATTGGACTAAATCAATAAAAGTTTGAACCATAAGTTTCATGTCATATTTTTCAATCAGGTGACCCAGTTTCAAAGTTAAGGTAACTGTGCACTCATCATGCTGTCTCTAATAATAGTGTAATTTATGTTAAAGATAAGCACAATGGTGTATATGTTGACTGATTATTGTGAATTGATTGCTAATAGAAGAAATGCTTTTCTCTCTCCTTTGCATTCAGGACAAGCTTTTTAATGCTAGTATTCCTTCTTTGGGCCTTCGTAATGTTATCTATATTAATGAAACACACACACAGTAAGTCATTTTAAACTATAGTTAATATGTTGTGGTTGATTGTATAATATTATTGGTGGGATATCTAAAATGAAAACCAGGATTAGTTAACCTTGTGCTCATGGCTGAGTGCAGCCAAAGGAATAGAAAGGGGATTCCATCCGTGGGCCAAATCTAATCCCCGGAATAAAGATAGCTCTCTTCCATGCCTCACCCTTCCTAACAGGGTAGGAAAAGGCACATAGGGTGGTGAGGGGAGAAAAGATCCCATAATCTCCAGCCTCTGATTGTAGATTTCATAGGCATCTCTTCTCCTCAAATTGGGAAGAGGGATTGGAATCATCTCACTTGGTATTTCAGAATTCCAGCCTTACCTTTAGGAAGCCAAAAAAAGTAGCATTATGCTTCTGTAAGTTTATGTATTTATAATCAGCCCTCTACCTGAAAAAGCAGAGCCTCAACATATTGTTTAAGAAGAAAGTTTGTGAGTGCATTGATTTTGGAGCATTGCATTTGGAAAGCTGTAAAAGGTTTGCTTTTTCCAAATGAAAATTTTTGTTCATCAGAGTACTCCATATTTTTAGGGTCACAAGTTTTGTTGGGCACTTCAGTTCAAACTATGCAACCACTGTGATTTCCCATGTGATAAAATAGTAGATTTTATCCAGCATTTTCTTCCTCTTGTAGTGGCAGTCACCAGGGAAGGTGGCAAGTCTTTGGGTCCAAGTCCCAAGTCTGAGTCCCTATTAAAAATAAGCTTCCCCCCCCCAAAAAAAGGGAGGGGTGGGTGGGTTCCAAGTCATTGGAACAAGAAAACTGTTGAGTCTGAGTCAAGTCACCAGTGCAACTTGTCTTATTTGACAGTGATTCCCACAACTCAATTCCCCATCACTGGCAGTCACTGAAGACAATTCTATTCAGAACACTCTAGCTGGTAGAGAGAAATGTTTCCTAAGTTCTCCCCTCACCAACTGTATACTCTAGAGCAGTGGTCCCCAACCTTTGGCCTCCAGATGTTCTTGGAATACAACTCCCAGAAGCCTTCACCATCTCCTCTGCTGGCCAGGATTTCTGGGAGTTGAAGTCCAAGAACATCTGGAGGCCCAAGGTTGGGGACCACTGCTGTAGAGAACTACATTTCCCAGTGTTCTACAGAGACTTTCAAAGTCTCTGAAGCATATTTTCACGAGGCTATAGACAAATGATTAATCAAAAATTAAGTCACCAGGAGAAATATTTTGGTAGCATAAAAGTGGTAGATGCCCTCTGACCCATTTAGCATAGAGTGCTAAAGGATGATCTAATGGGCACCAGGAGGGGAAAATAATTTGAAAAAAAAATAGTAACTTGAATAATCAAATCTTATGCTACTATTAAAAAATTTGGAGTGAGGTGTATGCCATCAGTATGTTGATAATGCCAGCCTCTTTTTCTCCTTTTCATCTAAGGCAGGAGAGGCCATGCAAGTTTGAACTTAAATCTGCACTAGTAATGTGCTAGATACACTGAATTATGATAATTGAGAAAGACCCTATTTATTTGGCACCTCATTTGTGCTTTTTGAACATAGAGGTGAAATATACGCCAATCTGGCTAGGAAAGGATTCTGTCTGAAATAAGATAAAATGGATGAATGATCTAAATCTATGTAAGGCAACTCTCTATGTTTTTGTATTAGCCACCTAGAGTGGTCTGGTAGTCCACATAGGCGGGGTACAGATCAAATAAATAAATTTAATAGTTTTACCATTAAGTCAATACTTTTTTGGTAAGTATCTAACAGTGTCTACTAGGACAAATGAAAACTTTCTAATAATAAATTGTTATGGAATGTTACAGGCATAGAGGTTGGCTTGCGAGGCGACTCTGTTACATTCTTTTTGTACAAGAACGGGATGTTCATAAGGGGAAATTTGCAAATAATGTGACAGAAAATGTTCTGAACAGTAGCAGGTAAGAGATACTTTTTAAAAACAAATCAAAACTTCCAGTTCACAGATAATAGTTCATTAGATTTCACTGGGAAAATTGACTTGGTCACTTGTCAATGGTTTTGTGTAATTCCTAGTTTTGAAATCAGGGAATCCCCTTTTTTAAAAAATTGTTAATGTTCAAGTTGAAGTATTTTGAGTTCTTCGTCTCTTTTCTACAGTGACCAGCTACTATGTTGGAAATGTTAAGTGCTACTAAAATAACCCCATAAGCTTTAAAGCAATCCATGTATTTTTACTGAGTGTATGTATCTTGAAAACATGCTGAATTTGTCATTGAAACATACCCACATAGTCTAAGTTTTTAATCTATAAATTGGCCTTTTTATACTTCCGCCAGTAAATTATACTCGGTGTTGGCAGTTCTTTCATATCTGAATTACATTTTTAACTAGTTAAAATGGCTGACCTGATAGTAAGCCAGCCAAGCCTGTTTGGCATCCAGCATCCTCACCCCATTCTGCTTAGGGGTGTTGGAAATTACTCAGGACTACCCTGACCTTACTTGGTGCTAGTATAGTGGCTACATGTCTGGGCAGAGAGAATTTTGGATCTGTCATACCTCCACTGCTTCCCTTTTAAGCTGCTTCTTCTGGGTCTTTTTTGCTGGCTGATCTCAAGCTGGCACAGCACTTGTGCTAGTTCCAGTTGTGCCAGCTGATCTGAGATCAACCACCACAAAGAGAGTATGTTGGCCAGACAAGAGACTTCTCTCCTTTCCAGGCATATCATAACCAGGATATCTTTGAGTTTGGATTTCATTGTGAGTACATCTTTTAAAAAGGGTGGTCACAAAAATGGTTGGCAAGTACTGCTTATTTTAAAACCATCTATGTTCTTTGTCACATTCAGAGTACAGGATGCTATTATGGAGGAGGCTTCAGAAGTGTCTGCTACAGGTGGCACTGGTCAACTGGACCCTCGAACTATCAATAAAGTGAAGAAGAAAGCTAGACGGATACTTCAAGAAATGGTAGCAAATGTCTCTCCTGCTTTAATCAGGTATTGAGATTAGTTTTGGTAGATAATTTCTGGCAGGACTGAAATGTATGAAAGTTTTTTTCTGTGTAAAGTTGTATGTGATTAAATATGCTTTTGTCCACTACTGTTGTTTGATTGATTGTGTTCTATGTATTTGTATGTGTTTATAGCTAATTTTTTAATATGCAAAATGAAAATGTGTTTATAAAACATAAATATTATATGGTACTTTTATTACCCTTTTAGGTTGACAGGATGGGTGTTACTGAAGTTATTTAACAGCTTTTTTTGGAATATCCAGATTCACAAAGGCCAGCTGGAGATGGTGAAAGCAGCAACTGAGGTAATAAAAATAGTGGAGACAGTGTTTAACAGCTGGTTATTATTTTTTGATGTAACTTGCTGCAGATCCTATTGCCTTAGTCATCATCATGTTTGGAGCAGGGCTACACTCTCCAGTTTTGAGCTGGGTAGTGGCTGAATATGAGACAAGAAAGGCTCTGCTTAGTGATTCATCTCTGTCGGAGGTGAGGTGTAAGTAGGATGAGCTTTAGAAAGCAAAAGGAAATTGAAGAAAACCTTTTGTCGTATTAAACAGCAGTTACCAGTTTCGTGGTATCAGTATCTGATGTAATAGGATTATGACTCTGCCAAAGATTCAACTCACCAAGAGTGAAATCTGTGACTTGATCTCTCTGTACCAATTCAGATTCCAGGTGCTAGTGTTGCACAATTGAGTGCTACTCCTTATGGTTAAAGTTTTTGGCTGGAGCTTTTTTTTTTCCTGATGTCTGCTTTGCTATATAGAAGTCTCTTACTACTTTATCAAGAGAAGCATTCAATCATACCGTACTTCTTGCAGTCATAAATATTATAGCAGAGACCAGGGTTTACAAATTGAGTGGAAAACGGACCTTTAGAATATTTTCTGTGGAATCATCTTGTGTTGAGTGGTGTCAAAACCTGTTATTTGTGCCATTTGTCATATTAAAATGTTCAGAGGAAACTTTTTACTGAGTAATAGATCTTGAAAAGGTGTCAGTGGTCTTCTAGGTTAGCCACCTATAAGTAAAGTATACCAGGTCATAACATACTCTTATCCAGTACTGGGCATATCGTACAATTGGGCTGTGTGTGTGTGAACTGATAATAACCCAGATGCATGTAATGCCATCCTTAATAGAGCAGTGCATTAAGGTAATTGTTGATGGTCACCGATAGTCTGGCTTTGATCAAGAAACTGGGTCAACACTATCACATTCTTTTCATTCCCCTCCCATCACTGCAGAGGCAAAGCACCAAAATAATTTTTGTTTAGTGTAGTTTAGTTTTCATTTCAAGTATCATCTGGGCTTCACAGGACTTGGTAGAATAAATTATTAACCTTGTTCTATGGCACACACAATATATACCGTATTTTTCGCTCCATAAGACGCACCTTTCCATAAGACGCACCGATTTTTTAGGAGAAGAAAACAGGAAAATATAATCTGTTTTCTTCGCTCCATAAGATGCACAGACTTTCCACCCCCCTGTTTTGTGGGAAAAAAGTGAGTCTTATGGTGCAAAAAATACAGTATATATATGTATGTATGTATATATGTATATATGTATATATATGTATGTATTTGTGTGCGTGTTGGGAGACGTAACTTTAAAATCACTTATTTCAGTTAAACAATATATCATGTTTGTATATGGAAATATTACATGATTTTTTTAAAAAAAAATTACATGTAACTGAAATTCTTCCTGTGGTGCTCTTTGGCATTTCTTATTGAAAGTTGTTATTTATAATCCCTATTACTTGTTACTATACGGCATCTGTGAAACATATTGCCCCCCTTCCCCCCGCTTTACAGCCTCACCCAGTGTTTGGTGTTGGAGTGGGGAATAAATAATGAAATTGCCCAGATGGCATTAATTGATAGGAACTAGGTGAAACTCTATGTTAACTCTAAATTGTTACTGATAATATAATAAATGTATGATGTCTGGCTATCTATGTAGTGTCTTATTTTCTTCTTCATGCAGCTGAATTTGCCTCTTATCTTCTTACCAGTCCACAAGTCGCATATTGACTACCTGCTTCTTACATTCATTCTTTTCTGCCACAACATCAAAGCACCCTACATTGCAGCAGGGAACAATCTGAATATTCCCATTTTCAGGTAATGCTGATATGATTGCTCATAAGTTTAAGACATTTACTGTATTAATGTGAGCCTGACACTAATACACTCCTAGAGAAATTAATGCTCATATGCAGACAAAGAGGTGCCTGTTTATGTGCTATTGTATGTCACAGCATCTGTTTCAAAAATTAATAGGAATGGTGTTGATTATGAAACACAGAAAGGTATAGAAGATGAATGACAGATTTAGGAAGTTCTTTCCTTAGCTGAAATCCTGTTCCTTTGTGTAATAAATTGTACTGGAATAGACATATTGAGTCCAAGGAAATTTGATGAGTCAGCTTCTCTATATATTCCATTGATTTGAATGGGTCTGCTTTAGTTGTGTCCTACTTTTATGTACTAAGTTTCAACTAGAGTAGGCCCACTTGAATCAGTTGAACCTGCGGAGGAGCTGAAATCTCAGACATAGAACATAAGAGGAGCCCTGCTGGATCAGGCCAAGGGCCCATCTAGTCCAGTTTCCTGTATCTCACAGTGGCCCCACCACATGTCTCTGTGAGCACACAAGACAACTAGACACCTGTCTCCTGGTACACCTCCCCTGTATCTGGCATTTTGAAGTAATTTCCTTTGAAGCCTGGAGATTATACATCCCCATTATGGCTTGTAACTTGCGATGGACGTTTCCTCCCGAAATCTGTCCATAGAATAGTACTGTTTTCTTAAATTCTATACTTGGCTTTAATTATATTTTCATTCAGTGTTATTTGTTCCTGATCAGTGTATGTAATACAGATCTTTAGTGAAAAGATTGAGGTGAACCTCCATTATATGGAGAAATGTTTGTATCAAGCGTTGTATGCCTTGATTTTCTTCACACTTTTTTTTAATCTGACAAGAACAATGGATTGCCATGTCAAACATTAAGACATAGAAAAAAATTAAATGTCTTGACTAATTTGTTACTATCTGGTGAATGCTATTCTGGCATGCTAGTCTTCTGAAACTTCATCTGAAAGTTAGTTTCATTTTTGTGTAGCTGAAAACAGAACTTCAGAAAGCAAGTTCAAGGCAGTGATAACATTCTTAGGCAGTGTGCATTCTTTTAGGATTACAGTAGCTCAGTGAAAAATAGCAGGTTCATATCTAAGGGCACACTCTGATGCTGCGCAGGCTTGTGGAATGTTTCATATAAAGCTTCTAATCTTGTGTAATACACTTTGTATCAGTTCTTAACTAACTATTATTGCGCACATTGCAAGCAGTTACCAGCAAGCAGTATAAGATTATTAAATGCATTAGTAGATGACAGATTCTAAATCTAGTGAAAAATAGCAGGTTCATATCTAAGGGCACACTCTGATGCTGCGCAGGCTTGTGGAATGTTTCATATAAAGCTTCTAATCTTGTGTAATACACTTTGTATCAGTTCTTAACTAACTATTATTGCGCACATTGCAAGCAGTTACCAGCAAGCAGTATAAGATTATTAAATGCATTAGTAGATGACAGATTCTAAATCTTATTATCAAGAAGAGGTGGCAAGAATACACAGAGGAATTATCAGCAAGCAGTATAAGATTATTAAATGCATCAGTAGATGACAGATTCAAAATCTTATTATAAAAGTCACACAGTCCACTTGGTGGAGGACACATGTGATACAGTTTCACATATATAAGCTTGGCATAATGTATTTTAAAGCTGTATAAGACTGTCTTTAGAGAGTCAGTATGGTATAGTGTGGAGATTGTTGGACTAGGACTCATGAGATCTAGGGTCAAATCTGCTGTTGATTGTGCAGACTCACTGGGGAATTGGCAATGGTAGACAGCTCCTTCAACATTTCACATACCTCAGAATCCCTATTAGAATCACCATACGTTTGATGTGACATGGTGCATAACAAGATTGTCATTAAAACATATTAAAGTTTTTTAGTCCTCTTTAAAATGACAAAACTGTAGTTTGTTCTAGGACTGCAAAGAGTAAGTCTTCACACCATTAGAATGTTGATTAAAATACTTCTGAAAATTGTTCCATCAGTTAAGAAATATATTAGGAAAAGAATTATGAGATGTTTTGTTTAGAGTTTACCAGTTAAGTTTCATTTTTACCTGGCTGTTGTGAGAGACTTAGTGTCATCTCCAAATTTGTTTTATTTATATATGATGATGATTGGGGAATCTTAGTCTCGCAAGGTTTGTGTGATCTTCAGAACTACCCTATTAGAATAATAATTCTGTGTTAAGTCATTTCTTATTTCTTGTGGCCCTTTCAAGAGTTTTCTAGGTAGAGAATACATATAAGTGGTTTACCATTCCCTTTTTCTGGGGGCATTCTAGGACTGTGAAGCTTGCCTAAGGCCATACAGGCACAGTAGGGAATCAAACTGACAACCTCTACATAAACCTAATGAGCTATCCAGCTACAGTAGTTCATAATCATCCTAGAGGGCAAATATATCCTTGACTGGATGACTCAGTTGATATGTGTGGTTCAAAACAGTTTTATTTATGAAAATCTGGTGGTGAACTATGGACTTAAGGTATTGTGATTCTGTTTTTTAGAGAATCAGAAAATGGGATGAACTGAGACTAAACTTGTTTTAAAGTATTTGGAATCAGAGTAGCCTTCTTTAAACTTAAAAACTGATAGCATAATAATTATGAAGGAAGTTTGACAAATCCTGCCATGCTATTTATTTGTGGGTCTTCCAAATGAAGCTATTATTGTCCATTTATCTTGCTGAATCACAGACTTTTATGGTGAATCCCAATAGGATCATCTTCTGCTTGTAAGCCCCATGTGTTTTTCCACTGCTTTCCCCCTTTTTCTTTCCACAAAACATTCCTGATGGCAAAATAAAAACAAAAATGGAATAGCTACAGAATGTTATTTGATTTGTGACACAAGGACCATCCAGACAGAAACACTTACTGTGTGCTCAAGCGACATTTATAGAAATGCCAGAGACAAAAATCTGACCAGCTTTTTCACATAGAGGAAACAAAAAGTCAGTTGCATGGTTTCCTGTCTAAGGCAGTTGTTAAATGCTCAGAGTAAGATGATCCTTTTAAAATGAAATTTCCTATAATGCTTGTTCCTTTATCCATAGCACATTGATTCGCAAGCTTGGAGGATTTTTTATTCGGAGGAGGTTAGATGAGAGGCCTGATGGTTGTAAAGATAACTTGTACAGAGCTTTACTTTATGTGGTATGTATCCCTTGATTGAAGCTTATCCCTGCAACCTACCTGAGAGAGTACATCATTTCAGGCATTGGTGAGACAACAGAGATTTTAATTTCAAAGACAAAAAACATTTCATTTGTTGTGGGTTTTAAAATACCTCTTCCAGTCCAGTCATGTTATCATCATCTGCCAGGATCCATAGGAAAGGTCACATTTCTTGCTCTAGCCATAATTCTCACATTCCTGCCCCTTTATGACTTCTGTTTCGACAGTCACAAAGGAATGTGAGAGTTGGAGAGCTGAAAAAGGGGAGGTCAGAATTACGTGTGGACATGTAGAGACACTGGATTGAAAAGATCAAAAATGCAGCTGGATCCTGACCACACCCCCACCAATGGAAAACATTAGCTGATATAACTGGTTCATATAATTTCCCTCCCATTGGCAGCAGTGAGAAAGGAATAGTCAAAGCCATACTAACAAGCAACATAAACAATAAACAAGGAAGGATAGCATAACAGCCCCAGTGATGTGATTTTTCTGGGAACTTTTCCAGTGCCTAAATAGAATGTGATTTGATTCAGCAAGTTTGTTTGACTTGTATTTACTAAAAAATATTTTTTGTATCTCAGCATCTTACAGGTATTGAACTATATTTGATATAGTGGTTGCAGTGGCAGTCTAGTTGGGGAGACTTGGACTCACATTTCCACTTGGCCATGAGGTTCACTTTATGACCTTGTGCTGCTGGTCATGCACTCTCATGCCTGATAGTAAGCATGCCTGTGTTGTTGCCTTATCAAAGACGAGCACATCTATGAACCATACAGAATTTTACCTGGAGAGCCAGTATAGGGTAATAGTTTGAATCTAATAGGATGGTTGTTAAAATGCCTGAAGCTCAGGAAAAGAAATAAATCATAGATACATGTACAGGAAGGATAACAGGAAGTAACAAATGTTGCTTTTAACTTGGCCTTTACAGCCTGGAGATAAATTTGTAACTCAGTATTGGCTTGGATTTTGCTGTGTATTTGTTGCTTTATTTTTCTCCCCATTTACAAATCAATAAAATGTGTGTGTGTGTGTGTATATATATATATATATATATGTATATACATTTGTATACATATACACACATACTCATAATATAATACTTCAGTGGATAATCACCTGAAAAATATTTGCTGAAATCCAGTAGTAAATTGCCGCTACATTTGGCCCATTGAATTAATATAACTTAGGGAAGAGTTGATTCACCAAACACCCATTGATTCAGTGGGCCTGCTCTAGTTGGAACGTACTGTTAAATTGCAGTGATTTGTCTTGTTAAAGCTAGAGCACAACTAATCTGGGTTTTGATGGAAGTGTTGCTTAGAAAATGTAAGAATAATTTTGCTGACTCAGGCAATTTTGAAACTGTCAAGTAAATTTTGTGTTGGCATCCATTAATTGTTATTAATAATTTTTATGAAGCAATTTAAAAAATAAAAATGGAATGTTTGTGGTAGAACATTACATGATGGAAAATTTTCTTCCTCATGTTATTGTTCCCTGATTTCTGTCTTGCTAGCAGGATATTTTAAGGCTTTTTAAACATCTAAATTGCTTTTTAAACATCTAAAAACAGTTTTTCCAAGGGGAAAAAAACATTGTTGTCTAAGATACCGCCCACAGCGCCACCACGTCCCTTAAATTGCTTTTTAAACATCTAAAAATAGTTTTTCCAAGGGGGAAAAAACGTTGCTGTCTAAGATACTATGGCCAGAATTGTGCTGCTTATGTATGCTAGAATAAACGTAACAGCATAAACCACAGTGGTTTTAGATTTTAATTGCATGGACCTGGGGTGGTGCTACCAGTGTTGCTACAAATCATTCTTTTATATGTCAAGTTCCATAAAGGGATCTGACGGGCTTGTGATTTACCCCTTCTGTTCTCTGCAACATCATGACTTTAAAAGCAGTTGAAAACCCACAAAAAAAAATAAGTAGCCTGTTGCTTTGGTTCTTCTTGACAGAGACAGGCAAGCTGTAAAAATGGCACCTCTGTATTAAAGGGGAGTTTGCATAAGATTCTCATTCTGTTGAATGTCTTCTCTGCACACACATTCTCTTTCTCTCTCCCCCGCACGCAACTGCACACAGGCATACACACATACAGCATAGTGGTAAGTAGAGGTGGGCACAGACAACCGGCTTGTTCCCAGCCTCACTTCCTCTGGTGGATGCTCACTCAAGAGGCAGCACCCTGAATTCCTGTCCCACTTCTTCTGGGTTTTGCCTCTTGAGTGGGCGCCTACTGGAGAAGGCAGGGCTGAGAAGTGCTGAACACCCTGTTTGGCCACTGCACAAACTGGCTAAATTGTGGTTTGTGCTTCTCTCTAGTGGTAAGGCATTCAGGTGTCAATCATGAGCCCTTTTTGTGCTATATAGGATAGCTGAGAAGGTTTCGGGAGAATTTGAAAGAAAGAAAAACAGCCTTTTTCTTTTTTTGAAACTTGATTAAAATGAGAAGACTACTATTTCAGGTTGGCTGAATCTCTGAATGCAAGGACTCCTGTTGAAAACGTGGACATGCCACAACATTTTGTAGCAAATCCCCCACTGTTTTAATGAAGGAATGCCATGATCCTGTGTTTGATGTTACCTTTCTTCCATTCTTCTGTTAAGCACGTCCAAGAGTTGCTTCGGCAGCAGCAGTTCTTAGAGATATTTCTGGAGGGCACACGATCCCGGAGTGGAAAGATATCCTGTGCAAAGGCGGGACTTTTGTCAGTGGTGGTGGATGCTCTATATGTAAATGCTACCCCTGATGTACTCATTATACCTGTGGGAATATCCTATGATAGAATCATTGAGGGTCACTACAATAGTGAGCAACTGGTAAGTTGGAATTTCTAGAATGCTGCTGTTTTTGTTTAGCAGCCTTCTGAGCGCTGTCATTTGAAAGGGTAATGCTGATGAGATCTACTGTGGAAACATAAACTGCATGTAGTTCCATTTGTAGCAAAATAAGAACATGAGGAGTTCTGGCATACGAATTAATAATTGGGGCAGAAATTCTTTGAAATATTCAAATAGCTTTTTAGACCATAGGTAACAGTAATATAGAAACAAACTGCGTGTGATGTATATGGTGATTGGTATATGTGGGTGCCCACTTTTATCTGGAGTATTTAAGTGGTTTGGAGCGATGAATGTATATGATATTGAAAACCTGCTAAATATAGTTCTTAAAATAATGTTTCCTTTCAATGCTTTGCAGGGCAAGCCTAAGAAGGATGAGAGCCTTTGGAGTATAGCCAGAGGAGTCTTCCGAATGCTGCGAAAAAATTACGGATGTGTAAGAGTAGATTTTGCACAACCATTTTCTTTAAAAGTAAGTGCATGCATTGTGGAACTGACCAAGCAAAGGAGTTCTGAGCCTTACATGTGCAGGCCATTGCTGAATCAGGGCCTGCATATGTATTGTGGTGCTGAGTATATAAACGCCCAGGCTTCATGCTGCTGCTGCTTCTTGCATTCAGGGTTATATATATGTGTGTGTTCTCACTGATGATTCAGTGAAATGCTGGATAGCTAAGTGGTTTAGGTATGTAGCTGTGGAGTAGAGATGGGCGTGGAGCAAAAAACAAATTGAAAAATTTGTCAAATTGCAAATTCATCAGTTTGTGTTTGTCATATGTTATGACCGTGACAAATACAAATGGACGGATTTTTAGTGATTTAAAAGTCATTATCTCAAAAAAAAAGTAAGTAAAAAAAATTTGAGAGGCACCCCAGGCATCTAGAGACACTCACTGCCCCTGCTCCCTTCCCACTGCAGCCTCCCTACCTTTTGCTTCTGTACATGCACCTGCCTCTCAGCTGAGGCAGCAAGGTTTTTTTAAAAGACAGACTTGTGGCTGCCTCTTTTTTTTAAAAGCCTGGTTGCCACAGTTGAGAGTGCATGTGCAGAAGCAGCAGGCCTGTGGGAGCCAGCCAGGCTGCATTTCAAGATGGGAGTGGAGGCCGTGGCAGCAAAAGGTAGGGAGGCAGTAGTGGGAAGGGAGCAGTGGCAGTTTGTGTCTCTAGGTGCCAGGGGGTCCTTTTATAATAGAGCAGATGAACCAACAAACTGATTCGTGGTTTGTCAGGAAAAATATTCAGAAATGTGTGGTTCATGGTTAGTCAATTTAAATTAACCATGAACCAAGATGAACTGCCGTTTTGGTGGTTCATGCCCATCTCTACTATGGAGCCAGAGGTTGGGAGTTCACTTCCCTGCTGTCCCTGCTGTAGATTCACTGATCCTTAGGTCCTATCCAGCTCTGCATTTTGAAAATTATTATATATTAGGTTGGGAGTTCAATTCCCTGCTGTCCCTGCTGTAGACTCACTGATCCTTAGGTCCTATCCAGCTGTGCAGTTCAAAAATTATATATAGCAGCACTGAATGGTCAACTAGGGATGAGCAAGGAGTTTTTAAAGTCAAAAACTGTAGCTGTTCAAGCATTTGTGTCCAGCTCTCAAATGGGTGGGTGGGTTGGTTGGTTGGTTGAAGCAAGACTCTAGATGCATGGTTGGTTGGTTGGTTGGTTGGTTGAAGCAAGGCTCTAGATGCACGTTGGTAAGAAAGGTATGAGGACATGGCTAAGATCCTCTGTAAGATACCTGCTGAGACCAGAGCAAGGGTGGGCCTTAGCTATTTCAGTGCAAGGGCAATCTGAATATTTAAGAAATTCATCAGAGATGCCCCACAAGATTTCTGCTACCCTGTTTGTCATTTAACACATGATAGTAAGAAAGAGGGGAGTTGGAGATGATGTTATCCTCCTAGAAATGAATTACTGCAGTGCTACTAATTTCTGGTTTCCTACACTGGCCAAGAAAGATAACATTGCATTCCTATGGTATGAATCCAGTTGCTGTTCCTAGCTAGAGGAAGCACAAAGAACCAGTGGCCCGTACTGACTTGAATATTGGCTCATCATTCAGCAGTTAATTAAATGTGACTGCTCTAGATGGGACTAGCAAGTAGATTTAGATCTCTGAATTAGTATTGTGGCTTACGGATAAAAGGACAGTCAATCTTGTCTGCTTGTTTCTTACTGTGGAATTCCAATTAATTTAGTAATACCTGATCTCTGATTTGCTTTACTTTTTATGCACTTCTTAGTTGTTCCTGGGTTACTTGTGGATGTCTGTTTGCTACTGTTATCTATTCTTTTATTTTTGTGAGTACTGGTTTCTGACTGTAAAGTTGTCACTAAAATGCAGCCTGTCACAAAGTCAATTTATGCCTGAATTAGAGACAGTAGATGTGGAAAGGAATGGACTGTTTGCCTCCTGATGTCATTCTATTTTAAAACTTGCTTTCTGATTTTAAGCCCTGCCTTGTGACTGAGGAGATGGCCCATTTCTGTCCACAGGACAGAATCAAAGTTCACAACAAGTCCGACTCTTTTTTCCTTTTTGAAATTCACATTTTGTGGTCATTAAAAAAACATTGCCCTCTGGCAAAATCATGTACTTTTAACATTATTGAGTTCTTTGCATTGAATGCCCTGATTGCACCCTTTCCAGCATGTCAGGTATATGTGTGGTTGCTGGAAGCTGTGAATGCTGGTAAAATTGTTGGAAAAGGCAGAGCTGAATCTTTGTTTGATTCTACAGATAAAAAGGCATAAATGTATGTTCCAAGGATTACAGTAATTCTTAAGATATCCCGATTCAAAGAGTAAATGAAGTGAAGATGACAAAATACAATGTTAATATTACAAATGGTGCATATTTAGGGATTTTTTAAAGTGTGTTATATTAATGGATGGCTCATAGGAAATACATGTTCGTAGAGAATTGTAGGCATTTGTCTTATTTCCTGTGTTCTGACTAATGAACTCCTTTGTGTGCAGGGTGTACTGCACTCAAATGTCCCAAGTGCTGATTTGATTGCATGTCCAGGGAGTCAGCAATAGTTAATAGCACATACCGGTAGCTTATTAGCATTGCTAAGTTAAAATAGTGAAGTTGTACTCCTGGTGCTTTTGCTGTCTGAACAGTTTGGGAGCACTCTGAGAACAAGTGTACCAGCTCAGAAAAAACGTGTTACAGCTAAGTATAATTTCAGCAATCAGATATACACAGGATTCTCATAATTAAGATGGTTTTGTAGTTGGCAGGTAGTGAGAGGTTTGATAAGCTTAATTTAAGAAGTTTGTCAAACACAATCTGTCTCTGGAGATTGTGAAAGGAAGTGTTGCCATTAAGATAATGTGCACTGCTTCATATGGAGAGAGGTTTGGAATTCTTTCTCACAAGTTTGCAAAGTTTTATTAAAACAAGGAAGTCCCATGTGCCATTGATTCTAGTAGATCTTCTTTATTCAGAAAACATTTGAGATATCCTAATAAATAAAAGGTGGCATTATAGCTGACACTTTCTCTTGTGCATAATATCACTCTAGAAAATATTAATGTTGTCACACTTGCAAAATGTTTGTATAAAATGTACATTGTCAGTGCTTCTACCAACTGTTGTTATTCTAAATATACATACATTTCAATTATGGTAATAAAAGGATATTAATCCACAACTTTTTTCTTTTAATCTTTTGATTGTGCAGATTAATCGTTATTCAGACCCACTTCTGAAATTTCTTTTTTTCCTTCTTATTTAAAATATGTTTACCCTGCCTTTCTCCTTTAAAAGGACCCAAAGTGGCTTGCATCATTAAAAGACAATATTCAAAGCTAAAAACAGCAAACACAGTATACAAATACTCAAAAGGATGAAACAAATACTGTATGTAGCAAACTCAAAAACAGTAAACAAAAGCAACACCAAGAATACATTCAAAGTAGTAAGGCACAACAGTATATTTAAAATCCCTCTCAGGACGCCAGTCATTGAAGGAAAGCTTACCTGTAGAGAAAGGTCTTCACCTGCTTGTGGAAGGACAGCAAAGATGGGGCCTCCGGGGGGAGGGAGTTCCAAAGTCTGGGAGCAGCCACTGGGAGGGCCTTTTCCCTTTCCTCCCCAAGCACACCTGTGAAGTTGGCGGGTCTCTCCTGATGATTTTATAGTTGACTGCCTTTCTGCCTTAACATAAGCCCTTTTTATACTGCCTGCAATATAGAATTATTTTTACAAGTGCCTCAGCATCTTAAAACCTCAGTAATTTGTTATTCACTAATACCATTATGTACTAATCTTTTTTCTTCTACTTTTTTGCTTCAATATATATTGCAGATAAGATTGAGTTTAGGGAACTGAATGTTGCCAACTGATACTGTTACTCGGCTGTGGTAAAATACTGTCTGAAGCCAAGAATGCCACTTGTGTAGCTGGCAGTTTATTGCTTTAATTTAATTAGTGTGATTTGTTGGCAAGGATATAAGTGAGTATTTTGTTACCCCACTGCTCTAGATCAGCTGAAGGCAGCATTTCTTGTACTGATCACCTGCTGAACATCTGTGAACATTAACCTCTCTCTATCCCTCAACCTCTCCCTATCCCGCAACATAGCCAGTCATCAGTGACAACATTTGTTGGCTAGGGATGTGGTGGCGCTGCGGGCTAAACTGCAGAAGCCTGTGCTGCACGGTCAGAAGACCAGCAGTCATAAGATCAAATCCACGCGACGGAGTGAGCTCCTGTCGCTTTGTCCCAGCTCCTTGCCAACCTAGCAGTTCGAAAGTATGCAAATGTGAGTAGATAAATAGGTACCACCTCGGTGGGAAGGTAAAATGGTGTTCTCTAGTCACGATGGCCACATGGCAATGAAAATTGTCTTTGGACAGGCGCTGGCTCTACAGCTTGAAAACGGGATGAGCACCGCCCCCTAGAGTCGGACACGACTGGACTAAAAATGTTGGGGGGGACCTTTGTTGGCTAGGATTGCTCATTGTTCTTGCACGTTACATATGAACCAGAAAGCCCCCCTTCTCTTTGCTCAATCTTTTCGACTCTTAAAAGTTTGCCTTATTGTTTCACAATGAAGGTGAAGCAATTCATTTTTTAATTAAGCTAAGCAAACCTGCTAATGATTAAAATCTTTTTCTCCTTGCACTCATTTGGATAAAGTTAATCCTTTGAAGATCCTTTAGTATTACATGACAGCATGCTGACCCTTAACATTCATATGCTAGCAAGTCAATTCTGACTTAAGGTGACCCTTTCCAGGGTTTTCTAGGTAGAGAATACTTAGAAGCAGTTTACTGTCCCCTTATTCTGGGGCCACTCTGGGACTGTGCAGCTTGCCCAAGGCCACACAGGCTAGCTCTTCTCCCAGGAAGGCACAGTGGGGAAATCAGACTTCCAACTTCTGGCTCTGCAGCTAGATCCCTTAACCACTGAGACATCCAGCCAGCTCAGATTAGGCTAATTGGAGATTGGTTATTTGTTTGATTGGCAGATTGATTGACTTCCTGCCTTTCTCTCTTGTGGGATCCAAGGCAGCTTGCAAAATATGTCTAAAAACCAACAGAGCTAAAAGCTCAAAATAAATTACAGTATTAGTATTAAATATATTATCAGATTAGAAGAAGTGTACGGTTAATAAAGTTTGAAACTTATTTAAAACCACCTGTGTTGCTAAATCTACATAACAATGGCAGAACTTCATTTTCAAGAAGGTCTGATTGGTAGCCAAAGACCTGACTAAATAAAAATGTCTTTGCCTGCTGGCAGAAAGAGAACAAAAGGTTCTGTAGCCTGGGAGCAGCCACCAAGAAGGCCCTCTCTCTTGTGCTCCTCAAATATGTGGGAAAGAAAGACCCCTTTTTGTCACAGCAATAACTTTTAAATTTTTAAAGAGGCATAGTTTGTAGTGCACCCCAATATGAACCCATTGCCTTGTGTCACTATTTCCTTCCCAGTGAGTGCCGATTTTCCAACATTTTTACTTTTCACTCAATATTTTAATTATTGTTGTTAAAAAAAACAATAAACTTGTGCAGTAGCAATGACTGAGTAATACGAGGACATCCCCCCCTCATCTGGGGGAGTCCAAGACTACATAGCTGCTCATGCATTATACATGCTGGTGCTATGAAAATACTCCCTCTGTTATGTTGATCACAGTTTCAGTGTGAAGAGAAAATCCCTGCTCATATGGAGACTCTAAATGTGAGCAAGAAACCTTGTCATGTGTTGAGGCTACGCATGAGCACGGTGCTTCTCTTCTTCCCATCTGTCACTGAAACCATGGCAAACCCAACAGAGAGGCAAGGATCAGAGTTTCTCTTGAAGTGTGTTGTCACAGCACTAGCATTTCTATAATGCCCAAACAGAATTTCATTAGTGTTCAGTTTTGACATTAGTTAACTTACAGTATAGTGAGCACAGTTCTAGAGTTCTAAATATTTTAAATGTATTTTCCCTAAATAGCATTTGCTAGTTGTCAGTATTTGGCAGTTATGGTGTTCTGTTGAGACTGTTTTTATGGTTAGTATGATGGTTGTTGAAGACTGTTTTGCTGAAATAAATCTCTGAACAGTTCTTTATATTTACAGGAGTACTTAGCCAGTCAAAGCCAGAAGCCTTTAGCGACACCTCTTTCTTTGGAGCATACTCTCTTACCTGCTGTACTGCCTTCAAGGTAGGACTTAAGTAACTTTCTAACAGTAATGAAAGAATGTTAGCAAAAACTTGTGTTAGTTTTATCAGTGTTTGCTCATAATGTTTTGAGAAGCTTTCTTAGAGACCATTGTGAACCTATTCTCATGCTGAATCATCAGGCCTTTACTACGCTAACAGCATGGCTGTCATCTTCTCGTGGCTTGTTACAGAATTCTGCAGTAAACTTTTGTGGACTTTTCTAGTTTGAAAATAGTTCTGTATAGCTGTATAGTTTGAAAGCAAATTCCTTACTGTTTTATGTTTTTTCTCATTTAATTGAGATATTCAAAGAGTTAGGCTCCAGTATTGTGCTAACACTTAGAGCCAAACTAAGGAGAATGCCCACAATCCAAGCCATGTTCCCAGTAGACAATTAAAGAAATATCCTGAGGTTTGAGCTGTCTTGAGTGGTTTCAGTGAGATATTAAAATAATCATTAATTGGCAGTGGTTCATAACATACCAGCTGCTTACTTATTATAGATGAAAGTGTTGGACTGCAGTCCCTCTTATAAAATTGAAATAAAATACTGTATTGTATTATGCATTCAACAGGGAAAACAGACTTATTTGGGTGTGCGGATTAGTATAAAATTTGCAAAAAGGCAAAGGCAATATTTGAAAGTGGTGGACCAGATGAGTGGGTCTGCCAGTTTGACTCCCATGTGAGGACAAAATATTATTGTAAAATCATGTTGCAGCTACAGTTTTCAGGGAGCTAGTTATGTAGAACTTGGTGCAGGAGTCAAAAAAGTCCTTTGGATGATATACAGTGACTATATTGTATATTTGTTTTGTTTTACTTTATTGTTTTATAATGTATTTTATTTTATGTTTACTTGGAGTACATTGGGTATAGTAAAAGGGAGGATGTCACTTAAATATTTTTGGGTTTTGCTACAATGGAATAGAAGGGATGTGGTGGCGCTGCGGGTTAAACTGCAGAAGCCTCTGTGCTCCAAGGTTAGAAGACCAGCAGTCGTAAGATCCAATCCACGCGACAGAGTGAGCTCCCGTCGCTTGTCCCAGCTCCTGCCAACCTAGCAGTTCGAAAGCATGTAAAAATGTGAGTAGATAAATAGATACCACCACGATGGGAAGGTAACGGTGTTCTGTGTCTAGTCACGGTGGCCACATGACCATGGAAACTTTCTACAGACAAACGCTGGCTCGGTGGCTTAGAAACAGGGATGAGCACCACCCCTAGAGTTGGACACAACCGGACTAAATGTCAAGGGGAACCTTTACCTTCTTAGAATTATAAGTTATTATTTACAGTAGCTGTCTTTAATGTTTACTTTCTTCAGGAATAATTGTGCAGTACAAGAAGGTACAAACACCACCCTTCCTGATTCCAGGGATGTATCCTGTGAGCCAGTCAGAAGACAATTAATAGCCAACTTGGCAGAGCATGTACTGTTCAGTAAGTAATGGATAGAGTACAGAATTGACTCAGTATTTTCTCTGACACACTGAGCTTTATATATTGGAACTGTTCTCTTTCCCTTTTTGTCTGCAAAAGTAGTACATATCATCTCGTCTTTGTTTATAGGGTTGTCATTTTGAACTTGCTTCTCACTAAGAAATCCATGTTATCTAACTTTGCTGTATTTTACAGGCCTGGGTCAGATAGTGACTTGTTTTTGCTGAAGCAGTTTGAAGTGCTTTCTTTTCCAGCTACAGTACATTAATTTGCTGATCAAGACATATCCATATGGGAGAACATTATATCTGATTGACTTGAGAATAGCCAAAATATGGATAGTCTTAGGTTTTTATTTGCTTAAAATAATATTCTGAGATATTTTTGCATATTTTTATGTTTTGTATATTTATGTATACAAAATAAGTAATGACTGCTGTATTACACTTTGAGAATTTGTATAATGGAAGGAGTACCTTTTGGCTAGTGAAATGTGCATATTTAAAATGCTGTTAAAATCCTGGATTAATTAGGTAATGATGCAGTTTAGTGTTGTTGTTTTTAAGTAAACCAAATTAGTTATAGGAACATGTAATGAACAATACTTTGTGTACCAATTTAAAGCATTTTTACCTTGGTGTTCAGTGAAAAAGAATGCAGAGAGTTAAAACTGGGCTGTTGCATTTCTTGCTCTCATGGCAACAATTGAAAAAAGGTCACACAAATGGGCAAAAAAATAGGGAGCTAGAAGGAGAAAAGCAAAGTACAGCACCATTTCTTAAATGTGCAGTCTTTAGAATGACAAGTTAGGATGGAATGGTTGGCATTAGATGACAGGTAGTCTATTAGTAAGCCAGTGAAATATATCTGCTTCTCTTCTTTTTGTTGCTGTGTTCTTTGTCTGTATGTTCACACACATTCCATGGGTCATTAGTAGAGATGGGGGTATATTCGAATATGAATATCCCCGCACAGTTGGCGTTAACCAGGGTCCAGCCCCATGGGGCCAGATGGTCCACTCACTGATCCTCCGTGGATGCTGACGGTGCAGTACTATGAATGGCTCTGCAGCGTGCAATCTGCTCGCCACTTGTGGTGGGAGGTGGGAGGACAAGCCTCTCTGCAGGGTTGAAGAGTAGCGAGGGGATTGCGTGCTGCAGAGTCATTTGTAGAATCGCGACGTCCGCAGCGGATGGGTGAGTGGACTGTCCAGTCCAATGGAGCTGGACCTTTGTTAACGTCACCTGTGCGTGGATAATCGTATTTGTATATGAATATGAATACCTTATCTCTAGTCATTAGTATACTGTGCAGAACTGTTTTGTATAATAAAACTGCCAATATCCTCCTAGTTCTACCTTATAACTTTTAGCCCTGGGGGCAGTATATCCTGCAGGTGTCACTAGTGGTGTCTCTTACAGTGTAAAGATTATATTTGACTTCTTGAAAAGATGTAGATTGGAATCCTCTTGGGAGAAACTGTGTGCAAAATTTATAGTTATGCAGGTGGTTCTTCATTATGGCTGGGTGTCCAGTGCATGTCCGGTCACATACTGATTATGAAATAAGTTGTATATCACTTGCATGACTGATTGCACAATAGATGTCAAGTGAAAGGAAGAAAACTGCTTCCATGTTTACACTGGTCTACAGCCAAAATGCTTCCGAAGTAAATGTAGTCAAGCTTTACTAATTCTGAGGCACTAAGAATGAAAATGATGCTTAAAAGTATTGATTGGCTCTAGTTCTCAAGATATGCTGTAGGTGCTGTCCTCTGAAGATGCCAGCCACAGAGACTGGCGAAACGTTAGGAAGAACAACATTCAGAACACAGCCAAAGAGCCCGAAAAACCCACAACAGCCATATGCTGTAGGGTCAGTATATATGACCCTTGTCTTGGGAATGGCAGTGGATAAGTGAGTTATACAGTGGACCCTTGACTTACAGACGGCTCGACTTACAAACTTTTCGAGTTACAGACTTCTCTGGCCGCAAAATTTAGGTTCGACTTGCAGCTGGAGAATCGACTTACAGACCAGAAAAAACCCAAAATGGAACAAAAATGGAATAAAAATGGCTGGTTACGGCATTAATTGGTTTTCAATGCATTGTAGGTCAATGGAGATTCGACCTACAGACTTTTCGACCTCCAGCCACCGTTCTAATACGGATTAATTCCGTAAGTAGAGGGTCCACTGTAAAGGAACGAGATCTCAGTTTAAACCAGAAATGACTAAAATACATCTTTGACGGAATCTATGAATAAATGTATGACTGGGTTTGGATGGTACTTGCTTTTTGGCAGAATATTTTTAGCCTGCAACAGCATTGGTTGTGTGATGTCAGCTCTGCAGCTGTTTTGCTGCATAATGGCAATGCTTTGCCATCAATTCCAGTTGGTCATGCATACCATATGAAGAAAAGGTATGACAACATGAAACATATTTTGACCAACATCAGTGGCAGCTTTGTGGCAATGTGAAGGTTGTTGCTGTCTTGCTTGGTCTGCAGATTGGACACATAAGTACTGCTGTTTTCTCTGCAAATGGGATAGTTGTACAAGAGATCCCTACTAAATCAAGGTATATTGTCCACTCTGAACAAGTGTTGAGCATCCACCACTTGTTGAGTCAAGGAAGATTTTGTTACCACACTTACACATCAAGCAGGGTCTGATGAAGAACTTTGTCAAGGTCATGGAAAGAACATAAGCTGCTCTCAAGTACCTCCATGGAAAATTTCCAAGGTTAAGTGAAGCTAAGATAAAGGAATGTGTCTTTGTTAGTCCTCAGATTTTTGAGATTATGCATTTGACCATGCATTGTGTGGCAAGAAAAATATGTCATGGAAAGCTTTCCAGTTAGTGGCAGTATATTTTCTTCGAAACAACAAGGCAGACAACTACAAGTTTTGTTGGAAAACCTCCTCAAAGCATACAAAGGTCTTGGTTGCAAAATGTCCCAAAATATCTCATCAGATCCCCCCCCCCCCGCGCATCAAACTGCAGAGCAGTGAGCGATGAGCATGATGAGCAATTTCACAAGGACATTGCAACAATGGAGAAATGCTATCAGAGCAAATGGAGCCTGCCTATGAATGCTTGCAGAGTATTGCTGGACAGTGACAAAATATGTTCCATTTAATGAATACAAGAGACAAGCCAAGAAGCGCCAAATAGACATTGAATAGGACTATACTATGTACATAATAGTTTTGCTGATTTTAAAAGTTTTACATAAACAGGATAAATGAAATATTATAATATACAAGCCAGGGTGTGGACTCACCTCCCTCTATTATCATCTCTGCACAAGAACTGGGGGTTGTTCATGATTTCGTGTACCTTGGCTCAATGATCTCTGATACTCACTCGCTAGTTGTCGAGCTGGATAAATGCATTGGCAAAGCAGCTACCATATTCTCTAGACTCACAAAGAGAGTATGGCTTAATAAGAAGCTGATGGCATATACCAAGATCCAGGTCTATACAGCCTGTGTCCTGAGTATACTCTTGTACTGTAGTGAGTGCACGGCAGGAGAGGAAGTTGAACATGTCCCATATGCGTTGTCTCCCATACATTTTTGGTGTCATCCGGCAGGACAAAGTTCCAAATAGAGTAGTCCTAAAACGAGCTGGAATTTTAAGCATGTATACATAACTGAAACAGCGGCATCTGCGTTGGCTCGGGCATGTTGTGAGAATGGCTGATGGTCGGATTTCAAAAGAATCTCCCAATTTGAAGAGACACTTGTTCAGCCGGCCAAGGCAAAGAGGCAGTCCCCAACAAAATCAGGGAGCTGGAGAGGGGATAGATTGTATTTGTCTTCAGTGTGGAAGGGATTTTCACTCTCAAATTGGCCTTCTCAGCCACAGTAGATGCTGTTCCAAGACCTTTAGTCAGAGCATGTTATCATAGTCTCTTGAGACTGAAGGATTCCTATAGCTAGCTAAAACAACCATAAACACATGAAAAGACCTAGGTTTACAATTTATAAAAACTCTACTACCTACACAATATACATAGTCATAAAATATAGCCGATCAGTTGTTTTAATTATCATATTTGAATTCAGCACATCAAAATACATAATAAATAGCATATTTTATCTCTGAAACAGATGACTTCTAAAAAAGTATAAACCAGTGTTAATTTTCTGTTAATGGCTTCTCCCAAAAAGATTCTGGCCATAGGTGTTACTAGTCCATATTGCATACTGGCATTTTAAAATGGTCCAAAGACACATTTGAAGTCAAGTAGCATGTTACATTCTGACAACTGTTTAGTCTTGTGCAGAACATCACTGAAAATGTGAAGCTCCGTCAATGTAAAACACTGGAAGTTCACTATTCTTAGTTCCTTGGTCGCTAACATTTTGTTTGAGGTGCTTTCTAAGCATTTCAGTTGCATGACAAACTGCCAGTGTAGCTTTATTTTATTTTGTTTGCTTTTAGCTGCTAACAAGTCATGTGCTGTGATGTCAACACACATTATTGCCTGTTTGCTGCTCTACCGACATAGGCAGGTAAGGTTGCTCTGCTTTTGCATTCAAAAACAGTATCTTTCACAAAAGCTTGCAAAATGCTAATAATGCTTAGATATTCTGTATTCTGGTAATCCTTACTACGTCTTGCTTGTTTCTTGCACTGTAACTGCTGAAATGTATACTCAAAAGTCACATGCAAATGGACTAGATAGGTATGTCAGACAATATTCTACAGTGGACCAACAACTGAGGAATTTTTTCTGGGTCTTTGATGAAGATCTCATTTTGGTAGTTAACGTATGCCACAAGGTCTATGCCTATATATTGAGTGATAAAATTGTGAAAAAAGTATAGAATCAATATAAGTATAGATACATTAATTATCTGTTTTGATGGGTGGTGTACTAATTTTTAAGTTTTGTGCTACACTGGCTTCCTTTATGTCGTAGGTGGAGAGAAGAGGAGAATATATCTTTGACGTAATTTGGTTTAACTTTCTATAGTTAAATGGATCAAATATTTGTGTGGCAATCATGTTTCTCCTCTTTGTTTGGAGATGAATTTTTAAATACATGTCTTTAAACACACACATGTGTAGGTAAAATCAGGCCCCTTGTAATAGGCATTACAGTTGCTATGGAATTAAGCTTCTTGAATATTGATCTAAGCTGCTTATTCTGTTGTGTTGTATGGTACAGTACTCCATGTGACCAGCTCATCCTCTTTTCCCTTAAAGAAATACAGTACATATTCATGCCGAAATGACTTAGCCTTTAGTTAAATCTAAGTTGAGAAGCAGTTTTTATCATTGAGGAAATCTTATTGCTCCTCTTTCCACTTACACAAAATTTGCCAACCTTTTTGAGCTGTCTGTTGGAGAAAGTCTTGTGTCTGTGTAGGGTCTCCACATGAATCAGTTTCTTATCTCACCCGAATCAGGGCTCCTCTTTTTCAGACTATCACTTTCACATGTTAAAAGCAGTGACTTAGTGGAAAGTGTTAGGAAGCAGTTCTCATTGTGTGAGAGAGTACCAGAATGCCTGAATAGGGCTTTGTTCTCCATGACACCTGAGGGAGTGGGGCGCCAGGTTCAGTTTAACTCTCATTGGAATGCCTAATTCTACTGTTGTCTCCAGATACATTTGAAACTTTTCCATGGGCAATGCCAACACATTATATGATAACAGCAGAAAAATCTTTCTGAATTGCATTAGGAACATTCAGAGAGTCCATATGTTTGGATAATTTTATTTATACTGCTGCTTATGTAAGGATAACTGTGGTTGAAAGCAGTTGTGCATTCACATGGGTATACTTTGGAAACTAATGATGGTTTCCCCGGCTGTTTTAAGTGTCTCACTTAAAAAAAGAAAATTAGTACCTTAAAACTTATTTAAGATTTGAATCTTATAACTGTTTTTCTGCAGGGAATCGATCTTTCAAAACTGGTGGAGGATTTCTTCTCCATGAAGGAAGAGGTGCTGGCTCGGGACTATGACTTGGGATTCTCTGGGAATTCAGAAGATGTGGTCATGCATGCTATCCATCTATTGGGGAATTGCTTAACTATCACGAACACTAGCCGGAACAATGAGTTTTTCATCACTCCCAGCACATCTGTTCCTGCTGTCTTTGAACTCAATTTCTACAGCAACGGAGTGCTTCATGTCTTCTTCAGAGAGGCTGTCATTGGTAGGTGCTAAGCCTGAACTGCTGAATTAGTCATAGATTAACCTTCTAGCAAGTGGCAGCATGTCAGCTTTCCTCAGGACGACGGCTGAAAGAATTATTAGGCTGAATTTCTGTTGAAAATCAGTTTTTCAGTTGCTACGTCATTTTTTAAAAAGTTCAGATATGGTTTTACTCCTTTATTCTGTGCACATTTTTATAATTTTTGAATTTGTTGCAGCTTAGATTTCCTATCATTAGTTAAGAAATGTTTCAGTTTCTTTGGAAGAGATGTTTTATCCTTAAAATGATTTCATGTATTGATTCTTTAAACTTGGTTCTTAACAGCAAACTTTAAAAAAGGCTTTCAAAATAACTTGGTTCCTTTTTTGCATTCAGCCTGCAGTCTCCATGCCATACAGAATAAAAGGCATAGAAATGGTGTCAATGGAATTCCACCCCATATGGTTAGCCAGGAACAACTGGTCCGTAAAGCTGCCAGCCTATGTTATTTGCTTTCTAAGGAAGGCACAGTTTCATTGGTAGGTATTGAAAGGTGTGTGTATGTTTGTGTGCAAGCTACATATTAGATATTTCATAGCAACAACAGTGTTATTTTGTTATGTTAACAGTGTCTAACAGCAATGTGAGGTGTATTTTAATTCATAAGATTTCTTAAAAATCTGAAGATAGAAACATGGCAAGCAAGAAAAGAGAAAGTATTGTGCTGGTTGCAAGTGACACATGTGCTACTCATAAGAACATGATAGCATAATTCTGAAAATTGTTTGGAAAACTGGATCTTGGATAACTGCTAATAGTGACATGGAAGTTGTGTGGAAATATTTAAACTACAGGTGCGAAACAAGGCAAATGGAAGAGATCAATAGGTGATATAGCAAGGAGTGTTGTTTCAGTAATTAATGATTTGTATGAGATTTTGGAGAAAATGTGAAGGAAATGAGATAGTGTGTCAGTGCTTGAGAGATTGGAGGTCGTATGCAACTCATAACCTGCCAGTTGCCAACCCTTCTTGTAAAGCAATATTGAAATGTGTAAATGCATGCAGATCTAGGTTTGATGATATTGAAAGACAGATTTGGACAGAAATGTAAGGACTATGTATTCTCGAAGGCTTTCACGGCCGGGATCGAATGGTTGTTGTGGGTTTTTCGGGCTTCTTGGCCATGTTCTGAAGGTGGTTTTTCCTAACGTTTTGCCAGTCTCTGTGGCCGGCATCTTCAAAGGACAGCAAACTGTAAGGACTGTTCATTTTACATTATGTTCATATTGATCTTTGGGCAATATGGACTGCCAGATAAATGAGTGTCATGACTGGGGCCTTGTTGGGACCCAGCAACCTTAGTGCAGGCAGAATTGGCCCTATTTCTCTGAGGGGAACTGCTTTAAGGATTGCAGGACTGGGCCCATTCCCTGCAGCTGTTGCCCAGCTCCTGAGGAGTGCCACCTGGGGAAGCTTAGGACTGGGCTATATAAGAATAGGCCTTCCCAGCAGGCCTTTGTCTTAGCAAACTGTCAGGGTTCAGTAGAACAGGCACCAGGACCTAGTCCAGAGTAAAGATCACAGCCCAAGCAGAGACCAACGAGCTGGGGGTTTGAGTCCAAACAGCAGCTGGGTGGAAGGATAATGCAAATTGTGGTCCAGGGGTCAAGGTCAGGAGGAACTGTAGCAAGGCAGCAGGGTCTAGAGATGTAGGAGTGGCAAGACAGGCAGGGCAGAAACTAGGAGGCTGGCAGGCAAGGCAGGGACAACCAGGCAAAGCTGGAATATCATCACAGCACAGCCAGAGCCCTTTGTTGCTGAGTCAAAATGGATACTCTGCAAACAAAGGCATTTTTCATAAATCACAGCCATGGATTCCTAGTCCATCTTTGTAGCTCATCATGTGTTTGCCTCATAATGTTTTTGTTGCATTGCACCAGCTAGGAGATGCAAGTGACTATTTGTCTACCCTGGTCCTAAAAGTAGGTTTCTGTATTAGTTAGTCACTATTATATTTTATAGCAATATGTTCTGTTTGCCTTGTGAGACCGGAGGTCATATGCAACTCATAACCTGCCTGTTGCTGACCCCTCTTGTAAAGCAATATTTAAATATATAACCAGTTATTTAGTTCTTTTCTGTTTTTAGATGCAATAGAAATGAATTAATTCTATTGGTGTTCACTCAGATTTTTTGAAATGAAAGAGCACTAGAGAAAATTTTTAAAAGGGGAAGCTATAAAGTAGGTTTATACATGTGCCCCACAGAGTTTTACATTGCTTTGCCATCTGTGTCCATTAATCATTTGCGGCACTTGAATAGTCCACAGTAAAAAAAAAAAAAATCATAGATGACTGATGTGGCTTCTTTTGTCTTCAGCCCTGCCAGCTTTTAGGCCAAGTCTGTCATGAAGCAATTGCTCAGTTCATACAATATGGAATTCTTGTGATTGCAGAGGTAAGATGCAGATTGTTTTAAGTATTTACATCCTAAATGCCTTGCATTTTACATCTGCAGTACTGATAACATCTAAAATAATAAGAGACAGCTAGACAAATATGTGTATCTAACTTATCATCTAGGCATTGTGAAAGGATCAAGTTTAACAGGGTCCGTTTCTAAGATCGCAGATTTGTGCTTCATGGTTTGAACATTTCACGTTTGGCAGTGATAAATGCTGATTTGAAATTGATTGTGAGTCCTAAAACTTGACTCTTCTCCTTTAGCTCAGAATACAAAATATATTTCTGTTCACAGATGTACACATCAACATTCTGTGTTCAATATAGATCCTTTATTAAGGATCTTAATAAAGGATCTTTCTCCACCCTGGCAAATTTATAAGGTCCCAGGGTTCACCTGGGAATCCTAATGATATTCCCGGCTCTTATATAAAAAGATTTTTTGTATATACAGGATTGTTAGGCCCTGCAATGGAAATAGAAAAAGTTGGTACCTTTTGAGCCAGTGCAAATTAAAATGAGTAAATTTAGATTGCCTTGGCTGAAATCATAAGTCATAGCTACAGTAAGTAAGCCCATTAGATCAGTGGGGATTTCATGACTTAACACCTATGTAAGTTCAGTTCTTTCAGTGGGCCAATTATAGTTGTAACTTATTATACTGGGTTTCAGGACATGTGCTCTCCCCCTCCTGTAAGTTTTATAAAATTACTAGTAATTATTTCTCTGCCTTCAAAATACTTCTTGATTATTTTTGGGAATAAAAAATTAGGACAATTGGCAATATCAGAATGTATGCTCCTGATTTTTAAAGTTAGGTTGAGAACTATGATATACCTGGGAAGAAGCTTTGGTGAACTTAGTGAGTTTTAGAGTGGTTACTGAAGCAGGTGTCTGACTTTTTATGTCAGTTTGTCTTATGAGAAGTTTCTATAACTCATTTTAAGTTATAACTTTATATTTATATGGAAAATCCTTACTCTTTTATAGTCCTGTCCTTATCATAGACTTCAACAAAAGTATTCAGTTTAAGCTTTATTCCTCTAGAAGGCACTGTTTTTCTTCTTTGCTAACATTTCCCTCTCATTTAACAAAAATCAAGACTCTTTCCTAAGGATGTAAATTCTAGAATGACTTGGGTGTTGGCGTAGAATCTGGTTTGGTTGCTGCACCTGTGGATGTTGTATAGGCAATGATGGTGAGGTGGACAACCTACCTATTCTGTCCCTCCCTCCCAAAAATTTCACATGGAAAAATAGAAAGTTCTAGGGATATAGGTAATGCCTCCGCACAATTTTTGTAATCATTAGATGAGTTATTAAAATTAGAAACTGGATGTTACTTAGCATTTTATTTAAAATATGACCTTTTAAAATTGCTGAGACCCATAGCACATATTATCAGTACATTACATATAGCTTTCTTTCTTCCCAGTAGAAAGGAGAAGTAGGAGGAAGACTTTTGCCACTTCCCCCTCCACTCCCCATTCTTACAGGTTTGTACTATTTCTGTATTAAGCAGGATGAGCAGGAAGATATTAGTCCTAATCTTGCAGAACAGCACTGGGAGAAGAAATTGCCACAACCTTTGTCTTGGAGAAGTGACGAGGAGGATGAAGATAGTGACTTCGGTGAAGAGCAGAGGGATTGCTACTTGAAGGTGCTGCATAAACTTATGATTTCAGCTGCATAAACTGGAGGAGCACTGACCCATTCTGGTTGTCTGAGGAACTGGGACTATGTAGCAGCCCAGCTCAGAGTCTTTTAGGGCACTTGCTAGCTTTTTTCGCAGACTCTGTACAGCTGAGACCAGGTCTAAAGATATCCATACAGTTTGCATGCTGAGCCTAACTGGCAGTGTAACTGGTTTTTTGACTACTTTGTCTCTACTATCTCCCTTTCCTTCCATCCACCTTTATGAGCTTGCAATTTATAATTTTAAAGGGAGCCTAGATGGAGTGTTCTTGCTTGGTCCAGCTGAGCCATCCTTCCAAGGTATTCCATTCTGTTCTCGCACTATAAGCTCTCAGTCCCAATGTTCTGCCCCAAAGACACTCAGCGTTCTTTGGCCCCTAATCATGCTCACTCCTTTTTTCTGTTATGTTTTTATTCTAAAACTTCTGCAAACTTTGGAGTCCCTCCAAGTATGCTGATACACTTTGCATTTGTTTTTCTGTCACCCCATTTTACAGTTTAATACCTGAGTTTTCTTTTAGTATATGTGCCACATGGGATGTGAAGGAAAATGTTGGCGTGTGACATCCTTATATTCCAGACACTCTATTCCACTCCAATCCCTCTCACTGGCCTTTTCCCCCCTGTTATCAGTTCGTAATTTCATGTGCGCTGACCATGGCCACTTGTTAGTGGGTGGGGATGGGGGACAGGGGTTCTGTCCTATTCCTTAACCCAAAGGTCCTGTTACACTTAACACCCTGTGTACACCCTTATCTGTTGATATCTCCTGGCTTGTGCATGGGGGGGAGCTGTTTTGATTACACAAAAACTATACAAATTGAGATTGCTATCAATATGCATAACATAGATGTACATTGCTGAATCTGATTTAGATTAGGAAAAAAAAAGGTCCACCCTATGTATGACTTTGTTGCATTATACTTCATCAGAGTAACAGTTGATTTGACTTGTATCCTCTTGCTTAATGTAGGTGAGCCAGTCACAGGAACACCAGCAGTACCTCACCTTCCTACAGAAGTTGTTAGGACCCTTATTGGAAGCCTACAGTTCTGCTGCCATCTTCATCCATAATTTCAGCGGTCCTGTCAGGGAATCAGAGTATCTTCAAAAATTACACAAATACTTAATAATGAGAACAGAGAAGAATGTTGCAGTATATGGTATGCCCAGCAGCCCCTTTCTATAGAAAAGCTTCATTGTGTTTAAATATGTTGTGCTTGGCAATGTTTCTGGTATTTGCCCTGAAATAATGCTTCTCTTTTTGCCTTCTCCACATTTACAGCTGAGAGTGCCACATACTGCCTTGCAAAAAATGCAGTGAACGTCTTCAAGGACATGGGTGTAAGTACTGTGTTAAGTTCAGTGAGACATCCGCTAGTTAGTGTACTGTATTTAATTTTGTACTCTTGATGTTAAACTGAGCATGTTGTATGAAACAATAATCCTCACTTGGTGACTACTTTTTGTGCATTGCATAGTTAAATGATGACATTCACAGCTGCAAGATTCAATGGTGGCTACAAGCTTGAGGAGCTTTGAAAGGATCAAATAAATCCATAGAATGATGGCAGTATCGGCTACTCAAGAGGGATATATCTAATCTCTGATGTTCTGTAGAATTCTGGTACAAATTTATGAAAAGCAGTGGTGACTCAGGGGTTCTTGGACTGTAATTCCTAGAAGCCTTCACCGCCAGCTGTGCTAGGTGGGGTATCTGGGAGTTGCAGTCCAAGAACACCTGCGTTACCTGAGGTTAGAAACCACTAATGTAAACCACTGAGAACAGAGCCCTCACAAAGTGCTTCCTAGTCTCAGATGTAAAGCTACAAAAACAAAACATTACACATTTACCATCAATTTGTCACTTTGGCACTTGACTTCTGGGGGATTCTGGTGGCTAATAGGTTGCATTCTGCATTCTGTAAACAGATAATTTGTGCATGTGAAAAACATTGTCTGAGAGAACATGGTTTTGAGAGCAGCTGAACTGTGTGGGTCCATCAGTAACGCTGCATTTAACTGATACTGCTGAATGACAATACTGAAACAACATTTTACATTTTCTTCTAGGTGTTTAAGGAGACAAAGCAGAAGAGGGAAACTATTTTGGAGTTAAGCAGCACTTTTCTACCTCATTGTAATCGGCAAAAACTACTGGAATTCATTCTGGGGTTTGTCATACTGTAGAACACATCTGAAGTCTTCCAAGAAGTTGGTAGAGTGGGAGAATGTGACACTAAGCTTCAGGGCCTTTTGCTGCTTCCATAGTATGTATACTGTAGTGCCATTTTTGGTAAGGCCTTATCTAACCCAAGCAAGCCACTGGAAGACAAGTGCCTTGTTACATATGCATGCCGGGAACTATACCGTTTGATCACGCAGTCAGGCACATTTTGGATGCAAGTGATAAGCCATTTTTGCACAAACAAACAAAATTCTGAGTTTTTACATGAGCCTGTATCAAGTGTTACATTTTTAACCTGCAAAGTATTACATTTATTTGAAGGCTAATGACTATGACAAATGCACAAGTGTATTTACCAGCAACTAGTCATTGTCAGATTACAATTCTGAATAAGTTAAAATAATTCCAATTAATGTGCAAATTTTGCACAACCTTTGTCAGCCCGGGCAGCTTATTCTGTCCAGATATGGTGTTCAGGAAAGCTGAATTCAGCAGGTTCCAAGGGCATTTAATAATTTTTCTTCTGTTCATTACTATGGTAACATGTTGAATAAAAATAATGAGCTAATACCTCATTAAAATGACTTGAACGGCCACCAGTGACCCCCATATTGCAGTGGCAAAATTAATACATTAAGATCTGATGAGGTTTCTCCTCAACAAAGGAAAACTAATACATTAGCTTATTAACCAATTGGACCATAATTCATTTTGTGCCCAAACTGGTATGATACTTGATTTGTCTTTGTACTGGAAGGCTGGCATCCATTTGCTGCTTTTCAGTATTTTAAGTGCTGCTTAAACTCTATGAGTTACAAGAATAACATTGAAATATTCACTAAATGAAAATGGTCCATTCTAATCTTGATTAATCTCAGATGGAGGATGATTTGTTAGCATTAAAATCTTACAAGCAAAGCTGTTCAATGTTGGCTTAGATGTCTATGATGTAATGGTAATATTTGAATTAAGATTGCAGATCATTTATTCTTGGGTCAAGATAATCTCCCAAAGTATAATGTAGTACAGAAGCTGCAGTTTCAGATACATTAGCTGAAGCAATAAACATAGATTTAGTTTTTGAGAAAGAACTTCATGCCTTATTGAGTGAAGACACATTGCTGCTGTTGTAATGTTGATTAGAACATTCTCAGCACTGTCCTCCCCTTTTCAGGAAAAAAAAAACTGTTTTAGCTTTCATTTTTAATAGCTTGCTCACGTGGCTGGAGTGTTGCACAGTCATTCTAGCACAGAGCTTCTGTGAACAGTTTTCATCTCTGTGCTTATTATACAACTATCATGTATCCCAAGACTTCCAGTATGGTGTAGTGGATGGAGGAACAGACTTCGAATCCCTGCTCAGCCATGGAAACTTACCAGGAAAAGCCACTCCTTAAATATTTCACTTACCTTGGAAAGCACTATAAGTTGGATCCTGATGGTACAGAACACACACAGATACCATCTATTTAACATTTTGTTAAGGTTATCTTTTCTATACAGATGATTCTTTATTAAAACAATAGATTTGCAGTGTTCACTTAGTGTTCCCACACAACTGTCTATGAGAGGAGCTTATGTGCATGTTTCATATCATCAAGTGGGTGCTTTAAAATATTTTGAAGGTAAAATTTTGAACCAAAGTTGCATCATGGCAGTAACGCTGAATTAATTAGTTTGTTCTTATATCATTTCCAGTGGGATAGCAACTGACATGAATTCCATTTGTTCCAATAAACTCTACTTTCTATTTAGACTAAACACACCTCATCTTTATTAATGTGCACTGTTAGTTAAAACTGAATGTAGTCTCTGAATAGCAACATCTAAACATTGCTTATGGCTTCCATTTAAGGTTAGATAAATAGGTGCTTGTAAATAAGGAAGTTCTCTTCATTTTTACATCTTTTCAGTGTATGCTAGAATCAAGATGGTGTCCTCCCTCCACCAAAAATAATGTTGCAGTGTATTGCAGCAAGTGATGCTTGGCTAATTTTAATGAAAATGTTCTATGTAAGTTTTTAAAAGATGAGGGGATAGGCATTAGTTTGGATACTAGAACATAATTGCTAGGTGTCACTAATAACAATAACTTATATTATTAAAACATTCTTGGGGTGCAGCAATATGTGTTTGAGTTGATGATATGTGTGGTACTGTATATTAAAACTGCTGGTTATGAGGAGATGTTTTGTGTGCAGGTTTCATAAGCAGAGAGACTGCATGTGTAGAAATGTCGAGCTTTGAATGTTGCACAATGACAGAGGTAGATATTCTGTGGCATAGATGTGGATATGCACAGAGCTGCGTATGAAGTGATTTTTGCTTTCCCCCCCAATAATAAAGCACAACGCCTTTTGTGATATAGCTGTTAAATAGAATTTTGCCTTTACAGAGCTGAGTTTTAAGCCTCCTTTTTGCTGATGTATAGCAAGGTTTCAGTGGGGGTTTTTTAAAGCTGTGCTTTGGCTAATCTTAAGCTAGATCTAGACTATTAAAACTTAATATGTAGACCTAAATCTTATTTGCTAGTCCTAACTAGAATAGACCCACTGAACCAGTTGGAGCTGGGTAAGTCAACACTACTGGGCAAAATCCTGTTAAATCAATTTGTGCCAAATCAGGCACTGAAAGCACTAATTTCAGTTATTTAAAAGTATCTGGACAGTGAGGAGAAACCCTTAGTTAAAAATCACTGCCGGATGACCAGTGCTGTGATCAGGACTGCCAATGGCTATCCAGTGGCAATACTTTCTATTAAAGGCTCCCTGCTACCCCCATCCAGAAGGTCCCAAAACTTCCCTGGGGCAAAAAGGGAGCCCTAGGGAACTTCAGAGGGAGATAGAAAGCTTTTAATTACTTCAAATTAAATTCTTCCAGCACCTGATCTGGGTTACCTCATGAAAAGTTATGTCAACAGGGTTATGCCCAATGTTTGATTCAGTAAAATGTATTCCATCTGAGATTAACGAATGTAGACCCTACGTTTGCAACGCTTATCTAAACAGCGTGTACCTATGGGAGTATGCTACAAGTAAATATAAAGGACAACATTCTATTACATCTCTTTCTGTTTATTAACTAATGGGTAATATAGATCAAACTCCATATAGGGAGGATCATAGCTCTCTCTTCCTAATAACAGTGTTCTCGTACTTCATATTTAATACTCTCACATGTATTTTCTAACCAAATTGCCTTGTCTTTACAGGACTTTTTTTTGTAAAAAGAAAAACAAAAAACAATCTAGCATGACATTTGCAACATTGAAGGGCTTGGATAACATTGCAAAATACCTTAGCTGCTCTGTATTTCTACTTGTGAAAACAAGCATGATCTTGAAAAATGTTAGCACACTACTTTTTCATTTTAACACCTCTGTATCTCTTTTAAGAAGCAAAGCGCTTCACAGTAATTTTAATAAAGAACTTGAAATTGCTTTGTTGTAACGTGGCTAAATCTTTACAAATTGTAAGAAAAGCTACAAAGAGGATTCCTTTACCACATGTAGAAGTTGCCTGTGAATCTCAGTTTTGCATACTCTCACTTGGGTTGAAATTCATTCAGTAGGAAAATAATGCCACTTCATTAACTTGTGGAGGATTATATGTCTGTTGTTTTGTAGGAAGAGAGAAGCTCATCTGTATTCATCTGACCATATTGTTCCTTTATTTCTAATTAGTGAACAGTTATAAGTTTCTCCTATGAGAAGCTGATCTTGATGTGCCACAGGCAGTTAGTGATTTTTCCTACCCACTTGGGGCAGGCTAGAGTTGCTGCTAATATTTCAACTTCAACTCTACTCACACATGTTATTTGCTTCCCACATAGTTAAGAAAACAGGAACCCACCCACCCTTGTCCAGTATAACACCAATCTACCCACCTTAGACCACTTATAGCAGCCACATGTAGAGTCCAGATTAAGAGACAGTTTAACCACACCATAACAGATCAAGAGTTCACTAATTTAATTGGTTTATTTCAACAAATCACTGTAACACATTTAAAAGCAAGTACCTACGAAGCAGTAAGTCCTATATGTAGTTCATGTGGTAGTCCTCCGGGCTAGATGGTCTGCAGCAGCCAAGAGTGAAGAAGGATACTGAATACTGCCCAAACCGTATTAAAACAACTTCATTTTGGCTAGAACCTCTTTGCCTTCATCAGGACTGAACTTCTATAGGCCTTATTGACTGCAGTGTATACTAAAACAACCCACTCAGTCTGAAGATTTCTCACATGGGGAAAGGAAAAGTAGTCCTGACAGGGCATTCGTGCAATTGGAAAATCGGCTTTAAAAAATTATGGTCTATTCAGGCATAAGAAGTAAAAAGCCTTTTAAAGGCTTCCCTGGGGAAAACCAATCACCCTAGAAGTGCAAAACCTTCAGCTCTAGATGCTATGGAAATGCAATTTCTATCCCTTGCTAGTATATCCAATAGCAAGGGACCCTGAGATTTCCAAGGCCACATCAGGACTCTTAAGGGGACTGTGAATAGGATTGGCTGTGATTTTCCTCTTGTTTTTCTGACATTTATCAACAACCAATATAACTCTGGAAGCCTTTGGTTTAATTCACACTTATCAGCTGTACATCAAAACGATTAAGAAATGGAAGCTTGGGGCAAAGGAGAGCTTCATTATTGCCAATGGTTTGTGGAAAATCTAATTTTTATTGATAATAGCTATCCAGCTTGGTTCCCTTCTATGCAAATGTCTGGTACTTTCCAAATCTTCTTAAAATTCAAGATTTATTGATTTATTTATTAGATTTCAGTTGTCAGTTAAAGATGTCAGTTAAAGCATCTTTTAATCTTCTCGTCTTTTTGTAATTGAGTTTTCCTGATAACATTTTATTAAATCAGCTTGATCTCCCTTTTTATTTGATTGTGATGTCATTCTCAGTATTGTTGCATTTGGGAAACATTAAGAAAAATATAATACCAACATTATATATATATAAAGAAATATGAAATATCAATATTGAATATCCAGAAGACTACTGTTGGAACCTGTGTAGATGGGGCAGATTTAATAAAGTGTCCTGGGGTCAACTTCTCACTCTAACCTATGTTAGAGAGTTGTTTTTGGCATAAAATGAGGAGAGAACCGTGTAAATCAGCTGTGTGCATTACTGATGCATAAAGAGCAACATTTTGCTATGCATGGAGGATTTCTTCTGATGATAGCATGAAATGGCTGTTAAATTTGCCATTATTTTTATAGGCATTAACAAGCTCCTTATATCTATGAAAATACCACAGGAATCTGATGTGCACAAAAAATGCATAAGAATGTGAGAGCATATTGTAAAAATTAGAGCGGGGGACATAATTATGTCATTTCCTTCAACGATAGAGACCAAATGTTTCATTATAACTAGAAAATAGCCTAATTTAAATTTCTACAGCATATTTCACACACAAGCAAGTGTGAATCAAATGTATGCCTCCTTCCTAAACTCCTACCCTCACTAGCTGCTATGACTAAACTATTCAGAATCTCTCAGTCATAGTCAAAATGATAGGGATTAGGAAGACAGTAATACATGAAAGTAGCTTTGTCAATCTTTGCTTCCTAATAAATTGAAATACATGAATTCCTATGAAGTAATTTAATTTACCTTTAATTTAGTTTACATTTAATTTCATTTACTTTTACATTTAATTTAGTAGGATACATGCATATTTGCACAAGCAGTTCGAAGAACGATACCATATTCCCAAAACAAATGCATACAGAATTAAGTCTTTGAAAGAGACTTGATTTCCTTATTGTTTTCTGGAACTTTCTTCCACAAAACAGTATCAGCAATTATAGATTGAGCCTCAAGAACAAGTAGAAGCTTCTAATAATTTATACACCCTCACCTTGTTTTGCCAACACTCTTTTTTCATGGAAGCAGGTACCTTAACTCTCAGCTAAGCTCCTAGAAGCTTGTGGAAGGTAAGTTGGAGTTCATGACTCCAGAAGGTTGTAAAATTATAGATTCATAGAATGATAGACCCAAATACCCTTACTAAAGGAGGATATGCAATAAAATGCAGAACAGCACAGCTTGAATATGCTCATTTTGAGGACTAGAGTTCTCATAATCCCCAGCATTCATTGCTATAAGTTATCTGCTTTCTATGCACTGTTTGCAGGCAGGTTTTCCCATCATTGTAATATTTGTCTATCAGTCTTCAGGTCGTTTAGTCGTGTCTGACTGACTCTTCGTGACCCCATGGACCAGAGCACTCCACTGCCTCCCGTAGTTGTGTCAAATTCATGTTGGTTGCTTCGAAGACACTGTCCAACCATCTCATCCTCTGTCGTCCCCTTCTCCTCTTGACATCACACTTTCCTAACATCAAGGTCTTTTCCAAGGAGTC